TAGCAATATCCCGAAGGCGCCAAGCAACGTGAGCGCCTTTGCCCCCCCGGCTCCCGTGGCTTGGCGCCTTTGGGATACCGCTAGATCAGTGAATGGTGCTCTGCCTGGCCGGAGGGGGGGGGGTTGTCCAAGGGGCTTATTTTGGGGAGAGGGGAGGGCTTATATTTTTGCCCACCTGAAAAATATGGCATGGCCTTATTTTCAGGACATGTTATATTTTCGGGGAAACACAGTAGTTACAGAAAAGGGTGAATGTACTCTTAATGTTTCATTTTTCTGCATCAATCACTACATACATGTATATGCCTAATGTTAGCATATAGCTTGTAACATACTTGCTTTCCCTATTATCACAGTCTGATCCTATAATCAGACATTGTAACAAGTAGTCCTTGATATTCAATCATTCATTTAGTGCCGCTCAAAGTTACAACAGCAGTGAAAAAAGTGACTTACAGCCATTGCTCACACTTATAACTATTGCAGCATCCTCACAGGCATGTGATCAAAATTTGGGCATGTAATTTATACAATTGCAGTATTCCAGGGTTCTGTGTTCATCATTTGTGACCTTCCAGGCTGGCTTCTAACATGTGAAGTCAGTGGGGAAAACCCAGATATGTTTAACAACAATATGATTCACTTTACTTCAGTAACTCACTAACTACCATGTCAAAAAAAATTTGTAAAATTGGGCACAACTCAATTAACAATGGAAATTGCTTAACAATGGAAATTCTTGTCCCATATGGGATCAATGTGCTCCCATGCTATATACAAAAGTCATAATGTACTAATATACTAAATGTATAAACGAAGTCTATATACTGGAATATGGACAGTTCCCTCATCTACTAAAAGAAACTGTAATTGCTTATGCATTATTACAAGATCTTACAACATTTTTGGCTAAACGTGCAGTGATATCTTAATATGAATATTATTATTTTAGGTTTTCATTTAAATCTACAAGTTCAGTTCTCTAGACCCAAGTTGGTCTTTATTAGAACTCCCTGGCTTTAACAACATATTCCTAACATTTTTATTACTTTTATTACCTTTATTTTTAAATAACTAATTTCTAATCTTATGTCTAATTTCTAAGTGATACAGTTTTTACTTTTTTCTTGCAACTTAAAAGTCAGAATGAATGGTTTATTTTTTGTGACATGTAGTGTCGCACTTTCATGTTTAAAATGACTCATCATTTTCCCCAAAACAGGCAAAAAATTGCAGGCACATCACTTCTTATCATCCGGATACCTCTTGAGCCTAATAAGAACAAATAGGAACAAATGGGAGATTAGGAACAAATAGGAATAAATGGGAGATTTGTAAAGTAGCTTAATAGCTCTAAAGTTTGTTGATAAAGCAGCAGAAACGCTACAAGAATGGCAAACAGGATCTTCAAATGTTCTTAAATTCCAGCTGCCAGTATTTCTTTCCATTGACTAACCTTAGCGTCAGCTAAAAGTAATTGTGATTCATCACATATAAAAGGCAACATTTCCTCTCTCTAGTCTCTATGTTTCCATCAGATATTTTGAAAGCTGCCCAGAATTGTTAGAAGATTATGTCAGTCTATCAATTCCATAAATTTATTTGTTTAAAACAACCTTATTTTTTCTGATTTTTCCACATATTTTATATAAGGCATTTTGTTTGATACAGTTTCTTAAAAAATTGAATATATGTCATGAAATTCATTTTTGTAACTGTAAAAATGGTTCTTTGAGTCCAAAAGTCCAATCATTACAATATGAATATGAAGTCTACATATTGCACATCATAAGCATGAAACAATTTACTTTCTGCCCTTTCTTGATTATACTTTTGCTGATAGTATTAGTGTTTGAAATTAGTTTTACACAGACATTTTTTTACTACATCCCCTACTACTGTATGTCTGAACTTCATTCCAGTCCCAGTAGAGATGCAGTCAAACCAGTATGTAGTCTACTGCTTGTCTTGTTAGACAAGTCCCATGGTAATGTCCAGTTTCAAATGAAGAAGGTGGTCATCTATTTCTAACCTCGTCATGTGAATCTCTGATGGTTTGTCATTGTTTTGAATAAACAATTTATGTCCTTTTGATTAAAATTGTAAAGAACTACAAATAACATCATGGAGAAGAAATGTGGCAGTTAGCAAAGCATGAGCCCAAGAAAGGAAGAGATTGTAGACAGAAATTTAAATTGACTCTGCCTTAACTGTTGTGGGTGTAAGACAAAGGAAGGGAAAATCTTGCCATGCCTTCAAGCATGGTGTTACCCCTTTGAGGTAGGTCAGGTCAAGAAGCAGACTCATAGGATAGTGATGGCGAGTTTAGATACCGTTTGCGCAAACTGTACATGCATGCCCAAACTGAAGGACCAGCTGGCTGGCGGGAGGTGAAGCATCCCAATACCGGCATCATGGCAAGAGGTAAGATCTTTTTCTTTTGTGAGTTTCTGTTTCATCGTTTGCAGGGAAATAGAAACTCACAAAAGAAACTCCACGGAGATCTGACCTCGGGTGACGGTGTGCATGCCAGCAGAGAGGGCTCTGTGTGCCACCTCTGGCACGCGTGCCATATGTTCACCATCACAGCCATAGGAAATTCTAGAACTTTATTTATAGGTTCTGCTAATAGACTTTTGAAAGCCTGACAGTGTTTTCCTTCCATCCTTCTTGTACCAAAGTGAATCTATTCACTTTCTAATATTTCTTCCTGGCCTTAATTCATGTTGTGTTGGAAGCATTTTTATTTTCCATAGTGAGTGGGGAGGAGTATCCAGAATGGGTTGACCTTATCCTCTCATGATTGGATTGAGTCAGATAAGCTCTTTGGGCAACGCCCCCTGGCACCAGGTATTCCCCAGTTTTTCTGACTCATCCGATTGTGAGAGGTTGCACATTCTGGATCTCCAGCAATTTTCTAGGATTTAAAGAGAATTCCTTTGGACCCGTCAAATCTTGCCTCCCTGTACCATGCACAGCCTCCTCCTACAGGATCGGGACTGCCACCGCCCCCGCCCCCTGGGGCGGCACGCTGCCCTGGCCACGAGTGAATCCGAAGACACTTGGTGAGGACCTTGGCCGGGCAGCAGGAGGAGAGGGCACAAGCCTCCTGGAGGCAAGCCCTAGCCGCGGAGGGTTGTAAGTCACTGGAGTGCTCCGTCGCTCCCCTCAGGGGTTGAGTGACGAACCAGGGCTTCCCAAACACCCCGGAGCGCCCTCTCTGCCTCCATATAGCCAGAAGATCGTGAGGAAACCTTTCCTGGGGAAGAGGCAGGAGGAAGAGAATCCGGCTGAGAGGGCAAGCGGCAGCTCCCTGGAGCACAAGCCGCTCTGCAAGTACTTTTGAATTTCGCACCCCTTTTGCCAGCCGCGTGGCGTCATTTTGAAGCTGGGAGGACCCACGTGGTCCAAGATGGTAGCGCCCAGCAGCTACCAGGAAGAAGAAACCCAGGCAGCTNCCTCCGGGGGCCCGCCAGCCAACACTGTCTGGCTGACAGCATCTGAAGGAGGCCCAATCTGTGGGATCTTACTGGCCGCTGGGAGGTATGTGGCAGTAGGCGGTCTCGAAGGTCTCCTTTAGGCATGAAAGTCATCTGGATGACTTTGGATTAGTCCTTCTCTCTCTCAAAGCAACACATTTCACAGGCTTGTGGTTGTAGGGAAAATAGGCAGGAAAATTAGGTAAGTTTGATATCTTTTTAAATATAGATTGGCTCAGCCCGTAAAAGAATGCAGCTAGTATTCACATATCAGAAATGGATTAGAAAAGGACCCAAAGAAGTGATTCAACCAGGGCCCATTCACTGATACACAGTTGTGAGATGGCTGTTTAAAATGAATTGGATTAATTCACAAGTAATTTCTTCTGGTTGCTCTTCACTACTGCACCTAAATAGAATTTCTCCACTCAGGGAAAATACTGTATAACTTTCAACAACCCTTGCAGTTGGTGGCAGACTTGAGCTTCTGATTTCTACTTTTTTTGGAAGGTGGGAAAGGGACTTTCAGCCATTGTTGACTCCTGGGAAGTCTTTGGACAATCGCCTGCAGTTTCCTTGACAAGATTTTAGAACCTCTTTCCACTTGCTTTCTCCCTAAAGCTGAGAAAGAGTAACTGATCCAAAGCCACTTCAGTTGGATTGTCACCTCAGGCAGGACTAGTTGAGTTTCTGGTTTCTAGCCAGAAGCTTTAACCAAACTGGCTCTCTTTCTGGCTTGTGCACAGCCAGAAGCAAAGGAGAACCATGTTTCTGCAGGTCCAGGAGAGAATTTCAAAAGCTAAAAGCTTAGATGGCAAGCTTCAATTGCTGAGATCACTCCTGCTGTAGGGGGCAGCCCTGAAACTCATCCCTTTTTGTTAGTGAAATACTGTATTAACTGAATTCAATTGCATTACAGAATTATAATAGAATTATAATTATAATAGAGAGGCCAGTTCTCTCTTTAATTGGGCCATTCTGTGCTAGATTACTCGGTGGGCCTGGGCCAGCCAACTAATTCTTAAGCCCTTATTAGCTCAGAATATGCAGAGCAAAGGAAGAAAAAAATTACTGGGAATGCATTGTTAGTAATCAGGGGGACTGCAAACTTGGCAACTTTTAAGACTTGTGGACTTTAACTCCCAGAATTCTCCAGCCAATCCACAAGTCTTAAAGTTCCCAAGTTTGAAGACCTCTTGTTAGTAGAAAGCCTCCCGCATCCATCATCGCTTCCAAAGATACTATCCAGATTGCAATCGCAGGCACCTCGCGATGCCAACCGGCAGAGAACTGCACTGCAGCCCTAGACAATTCGAAGCCGCCACAAACAGCAACTCCCACAGTAAGGATCGTGCGGGGATGACAGACAACCGTCCAAATGGAAGGAGGGGCACGAGGCCAGCCGGGGTGGGAGGGGCAGGTGGCCTTTGGAAGCGGAGTCCCTCGTCTCGCGCTTGGCAGCTCGTGGCGCTCTCGCGATGTTTCCCCCGTCGCGGCTGCCGTTGCCGTCTCAGCACCTTCCTTCGCCCTGTCACTCCGCGGACCCGGCTGGCTCTATGGCGGCGCTGCGAAGTCTGTTGGGCTGGCGCCGCTGCCGTCTGCCCCCGGAGACGACTCCTCGCCGGCCGCTGTGGGGCTTGAAGGCCGCCGGCTCCGGCCGCGAGGGGACCTCGAGTGGGCTGAGCATCGCGGCCGCAGGGGCTGCTGGCGGGGCGCTCGCTTGGCTCATCTGCTATCACTACTACGACCGCCGACCGCACCATTCGCCCTCCGCGCTGGGGCTGGGCAGCCGGAGGGAGCGAGGAGAAACCGGGCTGCTGAGCCAAGGCCGAGGACTGCAGCCCATCCCTGTGGCGGCCGCTGCTAGGGAGATGCTGGTAGGTGTCGAGGGACGAGACGGGGGGGGGGGGAGCACGACACACGACGTAGAGAGCGAGCGCCTGCTTTGGCCCGCCCCTTCTCCCTTCCCGCTACAGAGGATGGATAGTCCAAGGATGCTGTCGGGAAGCCGGGGCAGAGATCGCCCGTGCTAGCCTTCCCCTTCTTCAATTCTCTCCAGCAGTCCTGGATGGGGGACGCTCTTTGCACGTTAGTTCTCTTTAAAGTCCCTCTGGAAAAGAACAGGCGTTAGGCACCATCAGTGAAATTACTGCAAGTTACAAGTCAGGATCTTTTTTTTAAATGTAATTTCTTTATTCGTGTCAGAAGTACCTTCAATTTATAGACATACAACCTTCACAATTGAGAAACTAAAATAGATATGAGATAGATCATAAAAGTATAAAAGATTTTCCCTCGCACATATATGCTAATTGTTCCTGACTCTAGGGAGCGGTGCTCATCTCTGTTTCAAAGCCAAAGAGCCAGCGCTGTCTGAAAACATTTATGTGGTCATGTGGCCGGCATGACTAAACACCAAAGGCGCACAGAGCTCTGTTCCCTTCCCACCAAAGATGGTTCCTATTTTTCTACTTGCATTTTTACATTCTTTAGAACTGCTGGTTGGCAGAAGCTAGGACAAGTAACGGGGGGGG